GTTTCTTGTTGTTAAGGGATTCTGGGCTTTATAGGATAACACAACCGTTGCCTGATGAGGAAGGCCACTCTGTGCTGTTAGAGCCAATATATAAGACCACATTTTAAACTGAGGAATATTGTATTACATTCTTTATTCAGGAAAAGATGAGCAATAATATTAATTTTTATTATTAATAATTTGCATTTATTTTCTGGTAAATGTACGAGTATGTGCACTTGACAATTCAGGCATTGTTGTGTTGTACTCGACATTGTCGTTCCACAACAATGCCGAGTTTGTTTATACTCGGCATTGTTGATGACGTAATTTATTGACGACAACGAGGACTCACAAATTTTTATAATGGATTCTTTGTTGTGAAGCGTTATATTTGTTTTACGACATTGTTGTGTTCCACAACAATGCCGAGTAAACAAATATCTGTTGACATTGTTGATGACGTCATTTTTTGACGACAAATTGGTTGACGACGACGAAATCAGAAATTTTTATAGTAGAAAAGAGACTACGAAGTGCAATAACCCAGAATACCGTCATCTTCAAATGTCTGCGAGTATAAAATATGTTTTGCACAACAGATACAAAATACATATTTCGGGGGCTGAAACCATAACATCCTTCGTCCCAAATGCGACTATACTTTCAACGAAACTGTATCAATACGCTTCACAGCACTTCAGACTTATCACCAGTACAGTCAAGCGCTGAAAAAATGCCATAACATTACTGATTGTAAACCACCCAGAACTTCTGCCATGGAAAAACAGGTAAATTAATGGCATCGTAAGGTTTACGTTGGGCGCCACTTTCATTTTCTGTTTCAAAGGAAAATCACATTCGTAAAGCGTCCTTCAAGGAAGAAAAGCAGTTCTCAAAATTTAACACGTTGTTTCAAAAAATGAGTGTAATATAGGTCTTTAAACCATCAAGCTTAACAAAACAATTATTCTTATACAGCAGAATTTTACACAAGACTGTATCCTGTTATTTTATCGTCTGGGGAAACCTATATGCATAACATTCACATGATAAAATAGCTGCTAAAAGGGAACTTAACTCTTTGAAGAAACTTGTAATGTTTCAAACAGGGACAACCCCCCCCCCCTTCGGAACCCCGAAAACAATAAACTAAAAACGACCGTAGGGTTAGCAAGAGAATTATCGCACATCAGACACGAAGAAAAAAGTGTCTGAAATTGTGTGTGGCAAACGTGCAAAGTTTTTACTCAGACATTGTCTTCAAATCGGCATTAGAATGGCTCAAGACACATCTTAATTATTGTTAACTACACTTGTTTCATTGACAAATGAATAACGCAAGGTGAGGGTGGAATTGTCGGGAGGGCGGACGGAAGAAGAGACTACGAAGTGCAATAACCCAGAATACCGTCATCTTCAAATGTCTGCGAGTATAAAATATGTTTTGCACAACAGATACAAAATACATATTTCGGGGGCTGAAACCATAACATCCTTCGTCCCAAATGCGACTATACTTTCAACGAAACTGTATCAATACGCTTCACAGCACTTCAGACTTATCACCAGTACAGTCAAGCGCTGAAAAAATGCCATAACATTACTGATTGTAAACCACCCAGAACTTCTGCCATGGAAAAACAGGTAAATTAATGGCATCGTAAGGTTTACGTTGGGCGCCACTTTCATTTTCTGTTTCAAAGGAAAATCACATTCGTAAAGCGTCCTTCAAGGAAGAAAAGCAGTTCTCAAAATTTAACACGTTGTTTCAAAAAATGAGTGTAATATAGGTCTTTAAACCATCAAGCTTAACAAAACAATTATTCTTATACAGCAGAATTTTACACAAGACTGTATCCTGTTATTTTATCGTCTGGGGAAACCTATATGCATAACATTCACATGATAAAATAGCTGCTAAAAGGGAACTTAACTCTTTGAAGAAACTTGTAATGTTTCAAACAGGGACAACCCCCCCCCCCTTCGGAACCCCGAAAACAATAAACTAAAAACGACCGTAGGGTTAGCAAGAGAATTATCGCACATCAGACACGAAGAAAAAAGTGTCTGAAATTGTGTGTGGCAAACGTGCAAAGTTTTTACTCAGACATTGTCTTCAAATCGGCATTAGAATGGCTCAAGACACATCTTAATTATTGTTAACTACACTTGTTTCATTGACAAATGAATAACGCAAGGTGAGGGTGGAATTGTCGGGAGGGCGGACGGAAGGACAGACATCTGTCAGTCAATTTGGATAAGTGATGTTCTCATTCGAAGCTCCACCGCTCATTTACATTCTTCCAGGGGCTGCATTTTTATTACGCCCATAATATCAGATGGGTTCTTACAAAGTGTTCGATTCCACTCACATCATGACCATAGATAACCCTGTGAATTACAATGTCATATCTTATCCAAATTCGTTTGATCACATCATGCGTGCTTTACGGGCACCCCACCCTGACTAGTTCAGACCTGTCAAACTTATATGGAAGTTCTATAATTTTTATGAAATGTCAGGTGTTTATTGCCTCCATCTTCAGGGAGACGAGTAACTCTAAGACGTCAGTAAAGTTCTACCAATATTTAAAAAGAAACCCGACCTCAACCAAGTTCAAATTCTGTAAAACAGTGAGCACCGTTATAATCACGGGCCTCGATAAAAATAAATGCAAAGAACGACAAACAATGAGCACGTTGTAACGAAAGTCAGTAACACTTTCAACAGTTCATTCAGGCAAATTCCACCTCTTCCTCACACATCAATCCAAATTCACCATTCACCGTCGTTAATTAACACAATAACAAAACAACTTGGTCGAATTGCGATTAAACCAAAGTATAAAAAAATTGACGGCAAGCTATGAAGACAACGGAGGATGGAGTCAAAAGTCCCACGCATTCTTGACATTCATCTAAATAATATACAAAAAAAAAAAAAATTCTACCTCAAAGAAAACACGATGATAATTTGGTTAAAATCATTTCGGGAAATAATCACTGGTTTTTTTGACGTAAATACGTCTATATTTTAGGGTCAGTGTCATTCGGCAAAAATGTAACGAAAAAGTGTAACGAAAAAGGGAAACGAAAATTTGTAACTTCATTGTTATGTTACCTAGGAAACGTCAAACTTCATTGTTATGTTACCTGGGAAACGAAGAAGTGTAACTTCATTGTTATGTTACCTTGGAAACGTCATCTGTTTATCAACAAATAAACAACAATGGTTACCTACATAGTTACATTACATTACATTACCTTACATTACATTATATTATATTACCTTACCTTACCTTACCTTACCTTAACATTACTTTACATTACATTCATCTATCACAGACCCATCTGAAGCCTTACTAATTCAAGTTAAATAAGCAATGTCTTAATCAAACTTTACTCAATTGTAAAGCATGTATAAAGGAAATATTTAGATTGAAGCCAATATATAAACTTCCTTTCCATATAGACGTATTTACGTCGAATTCTCCGGAACCGTGGTTCCACTGACAACTTTTTCTGAGAATGCACGACGCCCATAACGAATTCTGTGGTCAAAACAATTTGTGGACGTCAAAGCAAGTGACACATATAGTTCCCACTGTTTTAAAAAGTTATTCTCATTACTAAAAGGATGCAAAAAAGTTTCACACTATAATCGCTTTATCCCCGCTTTACCCTCACATGATAGCAGGCCGACTGGACACCACTCTCGCTTCCCGAGCCGATCAGAGAAGGTGGTGAGAACAATAATCCCGTTCTTGGTTGCTACTAAAAACATTAACTACTTGCACTTGGTTGAGGAATACAACGTTAATTTGCTATGCCATTCTTTAATGCAGCCTACACTTTGCATTTACTTTTTATAAAGAACAAAGTATTTTTCGCAATGACTCCATCATATGAAAACAGGGCACGGCGATTTGGTAACATAACTAACATCACAATCACTCAGGACGGGGGCATGTTTTTGAAATTAGTAGTATCACAATGTTCCATGAGCCTCACACACAGACTACGCCAAGTTAAAAAGCCAGTCTGCTTCGTCTCAAGCGGTCTCACAAACCTGTCGCGACTTTGCTTCAAGATGGCGTCTAGAACCTGCAACCGCTGTTGGAATGCAGACCTGGGGGGCGTGGAGGAGTTAGGAGACCGACTACCGGGGGGAAGGGTAACTTGACCGAACCTACTAGGAGCGAGAGAGGAGGGGAGGGAGCCATGAGGAGCGGCAGAAACGTTTAGCAATCTGTGTGTTTGAATCACTATTCCAACTCCTGTAAATGGCAATCTCAATTTTAAACCGAGACACATCGAAAGGGCATGTTAAAAACTGTGTTGTGCAAGTACCAGTTAACAGTTTCTATCACTGTGAAATAGGATATTATAACCACATTCATCACACCACTTCCTAAACCCAGCGTTGCTCCTTCAAATAAATATCCTGACGATATACCAACCGGTCAGCCAATTATCACTCTTCATAAAATATTACAAAGCACTTCAAACTGGAATACGATACTTTTTAAAGCGATCACTTCTAACAATGGCGTCTTAGTCGCTTTCTCCAACTGAACTATAAATCACAATCCAATAAATAATGAAACGAACTAGTTCATATAGCATAACTAAGTATGGGAGAGCATCTAAAGATCGTTGTCACAACCAGAAAGTCCGACTTTCAATAAACGTTGCCTAAAAGATATAAACAGATAGTCCTGTGCACGTTCTCACCACATAAACGTAAATAATCAACAATTGCAAACATGTTATTACCAACTAATTACTTATACATCAATCGTAGTAACTACTGAAAATCACAGCAGATTCAAATAACCGCAAAATGTATCTTGTTGTGACATTTCTTATTATTCATTCTAAATATAACCATGAACAAGCCTCATCATCATCAATCGCCAAAAAATGAATCTCACAACAACGGCACACAAATCACAGTTATGAAATCAATGCATTGCTGAAAAAGCAGTAACTTATATTTGCATGCAAAATCACCTTACCTTCATCAAGAAGTCGTTCTACGTGTATGAAAACATTTGGGAACGCTGCCAGTTGCTTCTTATCTTTTAGTAGCTGTGCTAAATAGTCCGCTATACTCTGTGTGCTGGGGTTAGTATCACTCATTTTCTAATTATTATGTGTGTTGAAAATTCGGCACTATTTCGATGTGTATACCTGAGATTTGTTAGTGATCTAATGTTAATGCTTTCACATCAAGTTCTCGAACACCACTGAAGAACGAACAACTTCGTGGGCGAGCTCGCATGCGCCGCGGACGAGTCGAATCGCCCGTTCTTACTGGAAAGGGGGTGTGTGGGTTGCTGAGAAACAGCACTACTGCTGCCATATAGGGCGCGTGCAGCGGCAAGCTCTGTAAACAGATTCAAGCGAGCGAGAAACATTTTGGGGGTCGTTTTCCGTGCGTCAGGAAGATCCTCTTTCAAAATATACGTGTCAGCTGGAACTAATATGTGCTGAGAGGACCGATAACATTCCTTCACATGATTAGAGTATATTTTTTTCGATTTTAGTTGTGTACAACTGCATCTAGAAGGCTGTGCCCAGACGCACGTACGTCACCTTGAGCCCACAATTTCTGTCTGGATTTCTCATTCAGACCAACTCCCTATGACGTCACCTTGCAGAAAATAGGTTGTTCGTTGACATCTAATCAAATATGTCCTCCGTTTGTTGAAACAGTTTTTTCTATGCCCGTTACTGCTCCTTTACGACTGATTGCCTGAGGCTCACGTTACATTTTCTTCAATAAACGAACCCACACGTTAAAATACAACAAATTTCGAACAAAATTGCTGCTTCACAATCATTAATTCCCTGCTGAGATATGAAAATTCGTATCAGAAGAATTTGATCATCACGAATTCTTTCAGAACGCGAATCTATATTACAGTTTAGTTAAGTCCAGGGAGGTGCGATGGCACGCGCCTTGTGGACGTCACGTCAACTAACGAAAAACCCAGAGACTGTGTTCTACCAAATTCATGGGAGGCCATGAGTATAGGTTCAGTACTAAAGGTGTATCGAGTACACAAATTTCCTTAAAGAATTTAAAGGTGTCGGTACGAATGTCTGATTCTTTACCGATTATATTTAAAATGCAAATTTTAGGTCTAAGCCCATATAGCGTCGAATGCGATATGAAAATGATCGTGAATGGGAGATGTAAGAGAATTTGGAAGGAGATCGGCCGTGTTCTATTTCAATATATACGTAATATTATCTACACCGACGCAAGTTGGTCGTGAGGACAATGATTTTTGGTTAAAGAAAAAGGCATACACTGTGCCTAAAGTTGGCACTCAGACAGACGTCCCATTTCTGTTAAATATTACGTAAGTCTGAACTATTATGTTTGACTTTGTGTTTCGAATGATCACCGCGTACAGCTTCTGTAACAATAACTGAAACAGGTCTGGTAGTGACTCCGCAATATACTTCGTATTTAAATAGTGGGATTTTTAACGAGGCCCGCGTACATTTCGTTTACAATATTATTACAGTGTTTGATGACAAACAGTTACCTGACATCAGAAAATGTCGTCAGTATTTGCCAGTTAACTATCTCTGTCAGAAACTAATTATTCTGCTTAAAATAACTTCGGGACAATAAGAACATGTATAATTCATTAACTATTACAGGGATACATACGAAATGCATTAACAGAAATTAAAATTTATACCGAAATATTACTCAGACACACCAACAACTGATTTTTACGAAGAAAATTGAGTAACATGTGAACCTGTTTTCAACACAAAAGTGTAATTTAACAGCATGTTTAATAAACTACCAAGGGATGATAAAGTTGCGTCATATTGTGATAAATATATATTTGTTTAAATCTTGTCAGTCTAATCACAATGAAATTCCTATTAAATATTAAAATATTAATATAATTAACATTTAAATATTTAAAATATATTAAATGATGTTCTCTATCGAAATGTTCGATTTACATTAGAACTTCACTTTTTACACGACATGTTTCAGTTCTAAAAGAATCATCTTCAGGTGTATAAAATTATATAAACTTAAATATCATCTCTTAAATGCAACTTTTAGTCAGATGTTTATCAGGTTTCAAATGATGTTTTCTTCCAGATTTTATTGTATTTTAATATCGTATTCGAAGTTGTTCTGTATATGTACGTCGTGCTTAATATGATTTTGTGTGGGTGAACGTTTTGTTGTTGTTTTTTAATTATAGTAATATTTTAATATTTAATAGGAATTTTATTGTGATTAGACTGACAAGATATTAAGATATTGTAGGTGCGTCATATTGTGATTGACGGCCAATTTTAATATATTTTTAATACTATTTAGACTGACAATATTTAAACAAATGAAACAAACTACCAAGGGCTTACAATATAAGTCCTCATTTAATTTACCCTGAGGCCATCAAGGGTTCATGTGACAGGAACTCTCGCTCTAATAGTAGCGTACTGTAGCTATACGGCAGAAGTTCTCAACCAGCGGTCCGCTTACAATTTTTGTAATGGTGGTAGATGTTTGTCTTCTGGGTTGTTGCGCCGTGGGGATCTGGCAGACTTTTATCAACGTTTCAGAGGTTCTTCCTGCCCCTATCATCAGGGCGAGCTACAAGCAGGAAAATTCGTCATGATGATGGAAGCAGCAAGCACATATTAAAACGTCAGTCAACTTCTACCAAACGACATAGCGCAACAACTCAGCAGACAGAAATTTTATAATTTCTGCTGTGAAAATCTGAACTCTCACTTAACTTAAGACTTGTGGTCCGCGAGTCGATATGCGAGGGCGAATGCGGCCCTAGGTCAGGGAAACTTTGGAAACCCCTGATGTAGCCTACAGCATGTTCAGAATAGTAGGTTATTTGCGATGTGTTATCAAGTTTCGAGGAGTGTTGCTGGTTGTCAGTGTTTCCCGTTTGCGATGCAACATGGCGCCAGGAGGTCGTGTGTTTGACCACAGTGCACCAGGAAGCATCCCACATGACCTTATAAGGCCAGATCACGCTGGCACTCTACCGGTACTGCCCGTTATAAAGATAATTCACCCAGGGGTCTTACTAAAAGAAAAGCAAACCGTGAAGATACTTCGATCGAGATTCAAACTTGGTCAAATTCTAAATACAAAACAGGAATGATTTCTACTACAATATTAACAGTAAAGTAATAACAATATTAATAGTAATAATAATCATCATCATAATAGCTATGCCCTAAATGAAACACAGGTATTAATTACGTACTTGGTGTTTAACACGTAGGTCTAAGTGACATAAGCGGACTTGCTATTCATTGATGGCATCGGAGCGGATCAGAAAATGGCAAAAGACGTGATAACGATAATTATATAATTATAAACATTAAATCTACTAGGATACTGGCGACGTTCAAACACACTTGTGAAAAAGCCTTTGGAAACTCGCAGCTACTTTACTATTTCTCGAAGAGGGAAAAAAATTGGAACAACTTCATTTTTTTACTTTTCTAAACCAGCCCAGAGACAATGAATCTTAAATAGCAATGCAAGAGGGTGTTCTGCAGTATAAGAAATCCTTTTATTGGTCCAGAGAATAAGGCGATGATTCCTAGACAACTATAATCGAATTTTTAAATTACGAAATCCCCTCAGTGGCTGTTGTGGAAGGCAGCAAGCTGGTGATAATTTCCTTCATTCTTAATGACAAAACTGTACGGCCTTCGTGTGTCTTGTCGTTTGACCCCGAGTGACCCATGACGACATCTGACAACGCTAAAATCCCTGTTCCTACCAGTGCAATAAAAAATCACTAAAATCTGTGTCTTGCTACAAGGGGTAGAGTTCAATGTACAAGCGATAACTCCAATGAATTGAGAGACTTGTCTGACACTTTATAGCTAATGACTAAATTAAGCTTTACAGTTTATTTGGCTTAAAAATTCTGGTAAGTAAAAGACTGAATACTGTAAAATCTGTAGTCTCTCAATAACCACGTGACTAATAAATGTCACGGACGACAGATGAGCTACTAACTTGACTTGATTTACTTAGTAGCTGTCTTTCAAATGGTAATAAACATTTCTGAGTCGCAAATTACAGGATATTACTAAAGACAATGTAAATAATAAAGTAACCGGAGTGCGTCTTTTCGATAAAACGTAGCAACAAAATTAAAATTTTATGACGACTACGAGATGATTCACATCAGTAGCGCAGTTGATTTGACAATTTTTGTAGTAAGTCTTTTTTACTGGCGCAAAGGTATTAATTTAAACTAATACATAACAAAAACGGTACGGCTTCTCAAATGGGGATCTGCATACCACAAGACCTCTACCTCAGGAGGACAAAACAGAAAAGAAAATTGGTACCAGAAGCGTGAATCAAACTGGTGACCACACATCGAATGGTCTAAGATGGTGGGTATTATTTTCTACTCAGCACCTCAAAGTAGAGTATTAATTACCGTTTAAAGCTCATACTCGTCTAAATAATATTAAGAATTTAGTCCGTACCGCAAAGAAAACACAACTCTTCACCGTTTCAAAGATTATCTTGTTAAAGCTACGAATAAAATGAAACCCATAAATTCAATACACAGAGTTATTTATTTCTGAAGTAGCCAGGACAAAAAGAACCACGTGGCTTCAGAGGTTCAATTTTTTTACAGTTTCCCGCTGAAGTTGGATTTTGTTACGTACCAGTGCGTCCTCCAACCCACTGACCGACCTCCGAGAACGCGTGGCTAAGGCGCATTTGTAACTGCAGCTGTGAACCAGCCCTCAGAACCTGCAGGAAGACGTTACCGATTGCACATCTCATTAGCTCGAGCTGTTATTGACAAGACCCCCTCTGTTTGACCGTGGCACTGCAGATAACAGTATTTACTGTGTTGCCCACAAAACGGGCGAGTGTTTAAGTTTCTCAAGTCACACCCCACTGGACCATCCGCTTACGTAATCTCGTATGCAGACTACAAGATCCTGTGAGAACATTCCATCCTATTCATTTCTTATATTATTCTAAAATACAGAATGAAAGAAGAAAAGAAAGAAATATTCGGAATTCGTCAATGAAATATACTGGAAACCTATCGTTAAGTTGACGGTCCATTTACACAATAATTTTTTATCATAGTTTCAATGTTTGTTAAGAATCCACTACGTTTCCACCTTAATTGTTCATCTGAAGTGTTCAAAACTAACAGATATGAGTGTTAATTTGCATAAACATTTTCTGTTGCTGACTCCACCACGTAATGGACTGTGTCTTCAGCAGCTTACCTAATTAAATAGACTGGACCACAGCTCTACCC